TACATTATAAGATTATATTATATTATATTATATTATATTATATTATATTATATTATATTATATTAGACAGAAAATATGTAGATTTAAATTTCTGAAACAATTCTAAATGTTGCATATAATTCCAGAAATGCAGTACATAATTTAGATATATCATACTCCTGATATCTTTTGAAGGTTTTTTTCAAGTAAAACTTTAGAAGCAGATTCTAGATAATAATTAAATCCCTTGCCATATTCCTAAGTTATCTCACATTAATTTACACCTGTTCTGTCCAATTGAAATTTAACTACATTTTAAAAAAAAAAAAAGAACCAAGGAAAATTATTTTTGGTTTTCTCAATAGATGCATAAATACTTTGATTTATTCCTAAATGGAATTTAATATTTGATCACATTTAAGAAGCCATAATATTAAGTATATAATATATAAAATAGATGGAATAGCTATATGATAACAAAACTGAATTCAGTTTCTAGAGGAAGCTGATTTATTCCAAACAGGGTTTTGTTTTTGGTTTTTTTGGCTGAGTTTCATGCAGAAATTTTATTGGTCACCTTTGTGGATGCTTATATCAGAAAATGGATGGGATAAATATTTTGATATCCTTACCAACGGTATTTTTAGGAACAAAATCTCTGGGTCAGGCCTTGGAGGCACTGTGTTTTTATGGTTCTAGTCCTTTCTGTCGGAAAGGTCTCAGAAGATGGTCCTGATGTTTTTTTGTTCCACTGCATTGCTACTGGCCTCAAAGTTCTAGCTTGTTCCTCATGGTTTTTAACATCTACTTGACACTGCTGGACTTCATCTGGAATATCACTAATATGTGGATGACACACAGCTCTACTTCTCTTTTCTATTCTCCAATTCAAGGGTCCAGTGAAAATACCGAACAGGTGTTTGGGGGCAGGAGGAAGAATAAGCAGAAGCTTAATCTTAACAAGAAGGAAGTTCTGGGAGAGAGGGAATTAAAAGCTGATCTGGATGGAAGTGTACAATACTGTGTGGAAGAGGTTGCTTTCCTTCAGAGCAGACAAATACAAGGCTTGAGAGTTTTTCTGGATTCAGCTTACCATGGTACCTATAATAAAGAGTGCGCCTGATTGCTATAATATCGTTAAAGATGGTACTGAAGCAGTCAAAACCATTGTAGAAGCTAGGCATTTATGTCATATTACCTTTATTGTGTACTGTTTGTTTCCAAATGAGTTTAATATGCTAATATGTGCTTTGAAATCCTAAATGGGTTGGGACTAGGTTTTCTGAAGGACTACTGCACCTACAGAAACCTCACAAATTTTACAACCAGCTTCTAAGTTTTGCTATCTAGTCCACAAGTAAGAACTGTGAGATGAGTACAACAGGATCTTTTCTCCGTAATTCCACTTCTTTGGAATTACCTCCCCACAGCAGGGGTACTAGGTTCTGCTTTGTGAGTTTCCTAGAGACTGATTTGTTCTAGTTTGTATTTGACTATTATTACTGCGCTATGCTGTTTTATTTTACTTGCTGCTTTTACAATGTATGTAGTATATTGATTTTTTAAAAGATCTTCATTATGTATTTCATATTTTTGTTTTCAACCAACTTGTGAAGGCACATGCTATAATTCTCTGTGGCAGTATTGGAAGTCCCCAATGTGGCACCAAGACACCTGTGGATTTCTTGCCTGGCACTGACAGGTTCTCTGCCCCACATTGCTTTTTATAACTTTGATATCTTTCAAAAATTCTTTAAATTAAGAAAAGAAAAAGGAAACTGTAAAGCAAAGTACTTCCAACCTCCTTACAGGTCCTATAAGCTATCTTTAATAATCTTTAAAAATAAAAATAATGGGACAGCCAAGTGTTAGGAAATTTGCCTATCTGGTCCAAGAAGAACAAAGATGAAGATGAGGCAGTACAGAACATCTTATGGAAAGCAGAGATTTAGGATGTGACAGGTAGCATCTTGGTAAATTGATTTGTTGTACTCATTATGTCTCAATATCTACTTTGTTGTGAATTGAGAAGCTTCCTACTTTTTAAGAGGGCCTACAACATGTTCTCAAAATATGACCCTGCCCCAAAATGTTGGAGACCTCTGGTCTAAAATCACCTAGCATTTTTATAGACATTTTTTTAAAAATCCTCACCTGCGATGATTCTGATTGTAATGTAGTACTTTCTGTCTTGCTGATGTTCTTATATGTATTCTGAGTCAGTCTTTTTTTTCCTTTTGTCACAGTGCCTTTGACTTGGTAAACATTCATCTTTTCCATGATGCTTCCAATTTAGTTGCTTGGGAAACAAGCCCATCCGTTTACTCAGGAATAAGGCATAAGGCCCTTGGTTACGTACTTGACAGGTAAGTAATAGACTCTCTTGGCTCCTTGTATTGCCCTATATTATATTTCCAATATGAAAAGTTGTTGTGACTTTTTAAAAATGTACCCATATCCCTTAAGAACTCAAAGCATAAATTAGCAAAAATCATTTTAAAAAAAGAAAGAAAAGAAAACGATAGTCAGTCTAGTGATCCAGTCCTAAGTCAGTAAGTGAGGGTATACCAGGTATAAAAGGCACACTTGCAATGTTCTAATTACTGACAAGTATAACAGCTTTCCCCAAACTGTGTCCTCCAAATGAGTTGGGATTACAATAACCATAATCCCCAGTTTATATGATATCCTATTACTTATGTAGGACTCATTAGGGGTTGATGGCTGTAGAATTCAGATATGTTTATAATCAGAAAGGTCCTCAGCAGGCCCTAGCCAAGCTTGGCTAATCTCAAAGAAGCTAAATAGGATTAGGCATGGTTAGTACTTAGACAGGAGATCACCAGGAAATACCAGGGTTGTAAGATAAACTGAGAACTCAAAGAAACATCCTGGAAGAAAGAATGGCAAATCAATTCCATATTGATACAATAAATTACATGAACATGTCCATGTGGTTACCAGAAGTAGAGCTCAACTTGTGCAAAATTTCATTTTTTATAATATAACATTATAAAACATAGTATGTTCTGTGCTTCAGTTCTAATAGACACAGCATTTTTTGCTCCTTACTGTTTTAATGTCACCACTATTCTGTCCTTGACTATTCCCATTTTGTACAGTTAAACTGAATTTGGATTTTTGACTTGCTAAAGAGTACTAATCATAGGCTAAATTTGATAATTGAAAGCACAGAGATTTAGCAAAATTCAAGAGCTTATAGAATAATATAGGCTGAAAATGGCCAATAATGTTGTATTCTAAACCTCACTCTCTTTCTAGGTAGCTTAACGCTAAATAGAAATTCAATATTTTACTTCCAGCCAACTTTCCATGCTTTTTCATATCTATTGTTCTACAGTACACTCAGAATGCAGAAAATTTGGGAGAAGAAATGTGGATTTTAGAATATTAGTTTGTGGTTTAATTGGTGTGCTTCAGCTACTCTGTTATTCAAAGTTCACAAATGGTCTTTTCCCCACACTCCCCATCTTAGAAGCTATGCTTCAATAAGGTTTTTTTGTTTGTTTTAATTATTCTAAGGTAAAAGTAGTCTGACTTCATCCTTATTGTCTGTGTGGGCCAGTAGTCCCTGTAGTTTACCAGTGTGTGCTAAATGTGCTGGGAAAAATATTTGGTGTCTCTTCAGAATTCAGGCATAACTAATCTGGGTAACATGATTGTGAGGGTCTACTTTTCTTGTGGATACTCTTTGCTGTATAAGATTAAGCCCTACCTGGGCCAGCATTCTTTCTAGTGATCCTAGCAACTAGCAGCTAGTAGGTGGTCTAATAGAAATAATTGACCCATTATCCCACTCACTCTATCAAATAGCATGCAGTTATGTGCATTCATTAATACACTTCAAGGGGAATGAATTATTTTTTGATGTGGGATTTATTTCTATCTCTTGATTATGTTGTGGTGTTCCAAGGGAACATTTGTGTATTACTGTGATTTGCTGTGTTTTTTCTTTTAATGTTGTTGGGCTTTGGAATGCTTCCACAAATGTCTTGGCAAAAGTAAGGAAACTGTCCACTTGCAATAGTACTAATTGTAGGTCAAATATGTCATGGCAGTATATCATTGCAATGTGACACTGCCAAAACCAGACTTGGCTTTCCTCCCTTTCAGAAAAGAAAATCTTCAGTTTTAGGTGGCACTATCACTATGGGTTTGCATTCACATAGATCACTCATTTTGAGAAAGCAGCCAGCCGCAGATCCGGACCTCCGTAGTGAAATGGTGGGCTGCCCAGCACAAAAGGGGAGTTCTGTAAGAGCAGTGAATAATGGGAAACCCCTTTCATCAGGACTGCTAACCTTTTGGCAGCCACCAGCAAACTCTATTCTGATCTGCTGATCGGGAAGAACAATACACTGAAGCTCACTTTGAATGAATGCTACCACCAACAGTGCCCCCATTCAGAGGGTTTTGGGAACCATCTTGGACTATTGTCTATCATCACTCCTTCAGACAGTAGGAAAGGGGAAAGTAAGAGCATCTATAGGAAAGAAAGTAGTTCTTTTCTTGCCTTTTAATCTCCCTTTAAAGATTCATAGATCTACATTTCCAGCTGAGCTGCAGGAGCTATGCAGTGTCAGATAAAGACAGAAGAGAGAAGTTTCAAGCTGGGCCTTTAAATCCCCTTATCTGCATGCCCTAATGATGCAGATTTAGTGCTGTTAAAACCAAAGGCTGATAGGTCTTTTCCTCCGTAGCCTTTAAACTGCTAAAGAGCATTTAACGGCAATGCAGTTCAAGTTTCAGGAACAATACTAAAAAGGAAAAGAGTTTAATGAGCTAAACCCCCACTGAATGAAACTGAAACATCTTTTCACATTTGATTTAAGTTGCTGTGAGACTAAGTGAAATAGTTCCGTCTGCTGGATGCATCTTGGCCAGCGTGAACCCCAGTTAATTATGTCTGCTTATGCAAGATTGAACTGACCATCATAGACTGTGTTCTGTCTTAATTATTTGGGAAAAAGAAGTAAATTGAGGGTTTTTTTTTTAATGAGTTTAAGTATAAAGAAAAAGAATTGCATACCCAAAAGAAGTATATAGTTCTGGAGCACTGTAGTTAAATAAAACAGTATTGAAAATAATAAAAATTATCAGAGGAAAAGTGAAGCAAATCTATAGCATCCTTTGATTATTATTAAAGTTGTTATGACATTGTTTTCTTAGCTGTTCATTAAAGGCATGCAGATTTTTTAAGGATAACCTTTTGTCAGATTTAGAGCCATTTTAGTGATTTAAAACAAGAATTGCTTCGAGGCCAATAGTTTCCCATGGAAACCATTTGTGTTGCAAACACCATATTTAATGTTTCTAATAAATACTTAATTGATAAATCTTGTGCCTTTGGAAATAGAACAATCACTTTCTAACTAAAGTTGCATAGATACTACTTATGAAGTGGATCTATATTCAGAGAGGGGGAGAAACACAATAAATTTTTAAAATAAAATAAGGAATTGAATAATAGAATCTTCCATGAAAATTACAGTAATAGTATGGAGGAGGAATAATTAGGCAGAGCTGTGCTTATTATGCCAGTTCTAAAATCAAAATTTATCCAGCTATTCTCCCTATTCCCACCCCCTCAAACATGACAGAGGTCTCTTGTCTCTTCAAAACACAGCTTGGCCTAGTTGAACAGAAACATTTTTTTTTTACATTACAACTGTGAAATCTTGGCATAAAGCCCCCTTTTGTGACCCTCATTATTTTCTCACAAATATAGTCCATTGTCACATAGCTGAAGTTAATTTGATCAACATTGGGACATTTAACTTTTATGTTCAGTCAAAGGAGCTGTTTCATGCTCATTTTGAGTATTCAAAAGAAATGATTGCCAGAAAAATAATGTTACTATTAACAATTCAAAGCAATTAGTTTTCCCAGGGTGAGGCAATGTGATGCACAGCCTGCACAGAGCAATGCTTTGTCATTTTATAGATGCTCATCAATCAACTGTCACATCTTCTCAAAGACCCCTCCACTATAAAGGTTTCTCTTTGGGCTTTTCCCAGAACTAGCAAGTGAATGAGCTGAAGAAAAGCCACTTCGTTTCTAGGCAGAGGCAAACCTTGTGTGAATGATCCAGGCCACTGGAAAGATCTGAGGACTTTGAGTATTTGTAAACACTAGTTTACTCTTGTTATTTAAATGTATATTTTTCCAACAATAGAACACTGTTGCTTTTGATAGGGATTATAAAAGATAATTGAGTACATTTTAATTTTCAACCAACTAAATCTACAACTACTGTGAACATTGAGAGAGAGAGAGAGAGAGAGAGAGATCGATCACTGGACCTAACTCTCTTATTTTTATGAGTAAACGTGTGATCTTATACTAAAATTGTGTATGAATGTGGTTGCGTTTGTGTCTGTGTTATAAAAGAAGATGGATTATGACTCCCAGACTCTCAACCAATGTTCCCTCTAATTACTGGCATGCCTTGTGTGGAAAATACTGTCTTGTGCAGCTTTTCCTAAACCAGGTACAAATTTGTGCACCACAATAAGAGTTATACAAGTAAATTGCAAATACATGTAATAGTAACAAGTTAAAATGTTTACATATTTCTTAAAGTACAGAAACTAGAAAATATAAAAATTGTACCTTCAAGTCACTTTTGACTCCTAGCAACTGTCCCCTGCAGTTTTCAGAAATAGTTTGCCATTGCCTTCTTCCTAAGGTTAAGAGAGAATCAACGGCCAAAAGTCATTTAGCTTGGCTTCATGCCTATGGCAGGACTGAAATTCAGTCTTCTGATTTCAGGCCTGGCTCCTTAACCACTACACCAAATTGGCAGTACACATACATGCTTACAGATTAGAATGTAAACTCACTAGTCACTGATATCTGATGATTGCAATCAATAATTTGTAAGCAACCTTTTTTGGAGGGAGAAGGGAAATGAATTAAACCATTTTTGGAGGTAGGCGCTCCTTCATGTGCAGGAGGATTTTTAATGGCATTATTATATTTTCTTCCATGAACATGGAATTTCTGGGACTATTTTACACCAAACAGATTTTCTGCAGTATAACCCATATTGATAGCTATCAAACGGTATACTTTTGGAAGTTGCTACAGGTCAAGGCCTATTCAAACATTTCTTTGTTTTTTTAATATTTTTATAAAGAATTTTAATTACAATAGTAAAAACTAATACAAACTAAACTTAAAGAAAGAAAAGAGAATGGAAAGAAAGAATAAAAGGTTCAGGCAAAAAGAAAAAGAAGAAAAACACAAGAAGTATAAATAAATTTAATAACACTTCACCCCCTAAAAGATTAAATGGATATCTTTTCATCCTATATCCCATCCCTTATTTTTATAAGCAAAAATT